TATTTTAAAAATGTAAAATGGTCAAAAGCTTACTTGGTTTTGCTGTAGTCTAAAAATTAGACAAAGTGACATAAGATATGTACAGTCCTTAGCCTATTATTATTCGATATGTATAGTGCTTACCCCGACATTGTTGGCTCATTTAATTTATATAGGTATTTTTTCTCCCTTTCCTTATGATCATATCCTTAATACCTAGCACATTACTATCCACATAGTAGGGACTTAATAAATGGCTATAGAATTAATGAAATGAGAATTTAGATTTTAAATGGTTGGTTGCACTCAATGTCTCTCTTAAGCAGATTGGAGGTGGATTGATTGTTGCATTAATAATTGTTACTTAGGAATGTTGATAATTACATACACAAAATTTTTCTTAAGGTCACACCAGTGCCTTTACCATTTTTTCCTTTACAGCACAGTTCTGTGTGTTTCTTATTTTATCTTTTGTTTCTATCTTCTAATCTTCCAAAATCAGTGAAGGTTCCATTTCCCTGGATATCCCAGTCTAGGATCTGTATCTTTCTTAACTCATAGTTAAGCTCTATATAGACTGGCCACAAGTAATTTTATCACATACTCTTTTGTTTTTTATTAACCACATTGAACAATTTATTTTTTTATTAAATAAAGTCACATTGTCTAAATTATGCTGTTCTTCTAAACATTTTGGTTTCCAACTCGACTATTATCTTAGAAGAAGTACCTTGTCTTTTTAAGAATTTCTTTTTCATAGTACTTAGTTCGTTGATAGCCACAAAATAGGTGTTTTATTAATGCTTGGTATCTTTTGGCACTCATTAACATATATTGAGTTTGGGGTCTTATTTAGTTCAGCTCATTTTTTGAGGAAGGAGTTTGTTTATCCAGTAATTTGTTTCTTTTTCTTCTGTTTCCATAGGAGATAGTTAAGAGTTACCAAGAAAGGGAATCAGAACTAGTTGGTACAGGAATCTGAAGGTAATCTTATTTCAAAGGAATGAAAAAGCTTTCCAATTATTTGAGGCAATTAATATCAAAACAGGACTTTATTAAATCATTCTATGGTTTCAAATGGTCAGAGAAAAGACAATGAATATGTAAAATTAATGGTTTTGAATTCTCCATCTTCAAAGGTAAGATGCAGGAAATGGAAAAGGGAATTAATAAGAAAAGAAAAAAAGTAGAAGAAAAAGGAATTAACAAAATGAAAAGATGACACTGCTTTAATCTTAGATTATTTTAGATGTTATGTAGAGAGGGGAGAAAGGAGATAGGGAAGGGAATAGAAATACTTCAAACTGGGATGAGGACAGAAGTTGTAGGTCTAATTTGAGGGCAGCAGAAACAATTGAGTGGAGAA